AGTAACGCAAATTTAATACATCTAGTTTTCAATTTAATTTCTCTTTTTACATCTGCGGTGACGAGTAAATCTCTCTTTGCAGATTATTTAATTCATATAAGAGCTTAAATTTAGCTGGCATTCAAGAAAGGCAAATCGACTTCCCAACTGAGTGAAAATTCGTTCACGATAAACGACAAATAGAACCTCGATAAACACCTTTACCTCAGAAACAGAGAGCCAGTCTAGCAGCATGAATATAATGCAACTTTACGTGAGACTCGACACTTTATACGCTCATGTTTAATATAATAAGCTTGTTAAGCCTATGGGTAAACGAATTCCCAGTTTTCCTCACCAAAATCTTGACTGTCCCAAAGAAAAGGATCCACTCCTCTGTTTACAGGTCCTTCAAGAGCACCGTCTACAGTCTCACCGATTGCACCATCTGTCTCAGAACTCTCGATTTTATCCATAATCTTTCTCTTAGCCTTCCCAAACATCCCACGTATTTGACGTAGAGTGTCTTTGTCGTCCGAATGAACCTCCTCAAAATGCTTTTGCAAAACTGAAGCATTTCCCAAATCCTTCATGCACATTGGACAAATAAAACCTTCCTTGATATCGTCGTTCTCCATTTTCACGTGTGTGCCAACAGATGAGTTGTTTGAGATTGTTTTCTTCTTTATTATGATCGACTCGTGAACATAACATCTGCCGCCATATTGGTTTTGGTTATTCACACCGTAGGGCATTATGGGAAGGCCCGGTGAAGGGGCACCGCGGTACTTACCACGCCCACATGCACAATATTTGAAGCCGGCCCCCGTTTCGGACAGTTTTACCTGACCAGACTAAAAGCTCATATCCTCTCGTTGGCATTAGCCCGCTCAATACGGACAAGGACAGATTTCTGTGACATGAACTTCTGAAGACTTTTCAACAGTTCCTCCTTCCAATGTTTCCCAGAGGGAATGTTTTAATTCAAAAACAAAAAACAAAACAAAAACAAAAACAAAAACAAAAACAAAAACAAAACAAAAACAAAAAGACTTTATTTAACGAGGGAATAAAAAGGTTTCCGAATTTCCGAATTCAAGAAAGATTTTCGAAGCTTTCCAAACACTTTCATGGAAATTCCAAGTTCATATAGACAACTTTTTGCTTCATTAACAATAAATTTTCGAAATTTCTTAGAAAACAGGACAACACCAAATATTTTTTTAATACTTCTTGAAATAGCTTGAAATAAAATTTTTCGAGCAAGTTATGAACAACTTTTTGAGAAACTCAGCAGAACGTTTTGAGAAAC